TTCTCACCTTATCCCTAAGGGAGACACCAGCCACCCTGCGGAGAAAACCCATCTCGGCCGCTTGTATCCGCGATCTCGTTCATTCGGTCTGTTTCCGGTATTTGTTAATGACGATGTGCTGTGAGATGTGAGACTGGAATTGCACAGGGGAAAATAACGTAGGCTATCTTTAGATGCGGATTTTGTTAAACTAATATGTTTGCGCTGTGGACCAACACTATACATTGACGGAGAAGGGGGTAGCAATAAAGATAACACCATTAAACAGTTACACAACATAACAGAAATAATATCGATAGCAGCGTCCCTAGCAACCACCTTGGTAACAATGAAAACGTCGCGATTTCCTGAAGTAATCTTCGTAATAACTAGAAAACTGTACATCCACTGCACACATAATCTGAAATAACAACTCATATTTCTCGCATCAAATGACATCAAAACGCATTTTAATGGCCAAACTAACTTTAAAATAGGCATTTTCCACCGAGTATAAAACAAAGTTCGGCCATGTTTTCTTTTTCTGCAGGGAGAAATTTGAAGATCACGTGACATAGACGCCAGCCATTGGAATGAATGGGGGGAAAAAACGTGGTTTGTCAAACAGAGCAGATGGTGTAGTCCAGAGCCCTAGAGAGATTTATCTCTCTAGGGCTCTGGTGTAGTCCAAACGATAGCTGGGGATTCTGGGTAGTGTAGGGTCTTCTGCCATCCTTTACTCCGAAAAAACATTTGTTTCTTCGAATCGAAGGGGAAAAATACAAAAGCATTGCACACAATTTATACCAATCAATGTTGTGTAATTAACAAGGATAATCTGTTGTTTTTTAGTCGATGAGTAGTGCAGATATCACTGTAAAATCAATCGACAGTAAGAGGAATACTTACTTCCGGGTGTACAATTCTCCGTTATCCAATGGGAATGGACGCTCACATTGCCTTTAAGGGCAGCTGACACAAACGAATGCCGTGCTTCCATGAGCGTCAAATCCCGCCGCAGATGGGAATACATTGCAATCAGTTGAAAGCTATTTGCGTCCCTTTATGACGCTGAAGGAGCCTAGGAGCGTCACAACTGGACGCCACGGACACTGACCAAACGTCGCTCCTGGACGCTTAGGGAGTGAGAGTGTGTTGGCTCAAGCACTACCTAGAGTCTGTGTGCACGTCTCTGACTTCTGTGAATGAACGTGCGGATGTTTGTAATTTGCTGTTTCTTTCTTTGTAATGTGTGATTGATTTGAATTTGTATTTGATTTGAATTGTTGAATCCCAGTTTCTTAATGAGGGTGTATTTGTGGTTTTGTTGTTTACTGTTATTAACTGAACATTAAAGGCCCCATGTCATGCTTTTCCGGTTATTACCCGTCCCCTTGTGTGTTATGTAGCTTTTTCTGCATGGAAACGGTCTGCAGAGTAACAAACCCTCAAAGTACACCCTGTAGGGAGAACAGAAAATACCTGTCTATGCTGCAGGAGCTCCGACAAGGCGTGTAGGACAGAGAGTGAACACATACTATACAGAGATGCTGTATGAGAAACCAATGTGAGTTTGGAACATTGAACAATGTAAATCTATTCTAGTAGACCTCAACAATGGAAATATGATCAGTAGAAATGGCCATGACATGGGACCTTTAAGACAGAATTGTGTTCAAGTAGTGTTGAGAAGTTTATCATGTGTTTTTCTATAAGAAATCTTAAACCTTTATTTAATAGTTGAATGCTGATTGTTTTATGTGCAGACCAGGTTGTGCTGTTTGTTGTTATTCATTCAAAATGAGGAGAAAAGCTGATTTAAAAAGCTGTTAACTTTTTCTGTCTGACTTTAATTTGCTGTTCCTGGAGTTCATAATTTTTACTGCATTTGTAATATTGTCCAATTCAATAAATCTGCCATGTGATATGATCCCTCTTGTTTTATTTGGACAAATGTGGACCTTTATTTCTGGGTTTTCAAAGTTGGACAGTCAGTACAGGCAGTTTCCATGATCTATCTAAAGATGTGTTTACCAGCTTTAATAAGAAGTGAGCAGTTGTGCTGTTGCGATTTAACATTAATGACACAAATGCAAATTCAATACAGTACCACCTCACTTTAAAAGGTTTTAAATGGTTAAAAAATTGATTATAATGAAGAATAGTAACCTGATTTTAGTGATGTTTCTCAATATGCTGTAGCTTGGCCTGTTTTAAATATCAGAAATACCTTCAACTATGACCGTTGTTTAAACAGGATTAATATTAAAATGAATATGATTAATGTAGTAAGATGCCAGCCTTTGCACAAAGGTTCAATGCTGTGAAGTGTATTGCAACTAACTTGTCTATTATGTTTCAAGGCATTACGTTCTGCTGCAAGCTACTTCAGCTACAGAGGAGCAGCATCCTGCATGGTAAGTACACTTTAAGTAAAACTGGAACGGATTTAGGCAAGGCAAGGCAAGGCAAGGCAAGGCAAGGCAAGGCAAGGCAAGGCAAGGCAAGGCAAGGCAAGGCAAGGCAAGGCAAGGCAAGGCAAGGCAAGGCAAGGCAAGGCAAGGCAAGGCAAGGCAAGGCAAGGCAAGGCAAGGCAAGGCAAGGCAAGGCAAGTTTATTTATATAGCACTTTTCAACACAAGGCAATTCAAAGTGCTTTACAAAAAATTAAAGACATTAAGAAAAAGGCATTTAAAATCAGTCATTAAAAAGAAAAGCTAATAAAAGAAACATTAAAAGAAAAAATACATGGATAAAAGTTTCAGTGCAGTCTAAGATATGAATAGTTCAATTAAACATTAAAAGAAAAAGTACATGGATAAAAGTTACAGTGCAGTCTAAGATATGAATAGTTCAATTAAAAGCAGCGACAAAAAGAAAAGTCTTCAACCTGGATTTAAAAGTAGTCAGAGTTGCAGCACACCTGCAGGTTTCTGGGAGTTTGTTCCAGATATTTGGAGCATAATAACTGAACGCTGCTTTACCATGTTTAGTTCTGACTCTGGGGACAGAAAGCTGACCAGTCCCTGAAGACCTGAGAGGTCTGGATGGTTCATAATTTAGCAGGAGGTCAGAAATGTATCCTGGGCCTAAACCATTCAGTGCTTTATAAACCAGCAGCAGTATTTTGAAATCTATTCTTTGACACACAGGAAGCCAGTGTAAAGACTTCAGAACAGGAGTGATGTGATCCACTTTCTTAGTGTTAGTGACGACTCGAGCAGCGGCGTTCTGAATCAGCTGCAGCTTCCTAATAGATTTTTTAGTGAGACCCGTGAAGACACCATTGCAGTAGTCGAGTCTACTGAAGATAAAAGCATGGACAAGTTTTTCCAAATCCTGCTGTGACATTAGTCTTTTAATCCTAGATATATTCTTTAGGTGATAGTAGGCTGATTTAGTAATTGTTTTAATGTGACTGTTGAAACTCAGGTCAGAGTCCATGACTACACCTAGATTTCTGGCTTTATCTGTTGTTTTGAACATTGCAGACTGAAGCTCAGCGCTAACTTTTATACATTCTGACTTGGCTCCAAAAACCATTACCTCAGTTTTATCTTTGTTTAATTGGAGAAAGTTCTGACACATCCAGTCATTGATTTGTTCAATGCACTTACTCAGTGTTTGAATTGGAGCATAGTCTCCTGGTGAAATTGTTACGTACATTTGTGTGTCATCCGCATAGCTATGGTAACTTATTTTGTTGTTTTTCATTATCTGAGCCAGTGGTAGCATGTAGATGTTAAAGAGAAGAGGCCCCAAGATGGAGCCTTGAGGAACCCCACATGTCATATTTGTCAACTCAGATGTGTATTTACCTATAGAAACAAAGTTGTTTCTGTCCTTTAAGTAGGATTCAAACCAATTTAGAGCTGTTTCCGAAAGTCCCACCCAGTTTTCCAGTCGGTCTAGTAATATGCTGTGGTCAACAGTGTCAAACGCAGCACTGAGATCTAATAATACTAACACTAAAGTTCTGCCACTGTCTGTGTTTAAGTGGATGTCATTAAAGACCTTTACAAGAGCAGTCTCAGTGCTGTGGTTTGGACGAAAGCCTGACTGGAACACATCGAAACAGTTATTTAAATGCAAGAAATTACTCAACTGTTGAAAAACAACTTTTTCAATGATTTTACCTAGAAATGGGAGGTTTGATATGGGCCTGTAATTGTTCATTACTGAAGCATCTAGATTATTCTTTTTTAAGAGCGGTTTAATGACTGCAGTTTTCAGGGCCTGTGGAAAAATACCAGAGTGAAGAGATTTGTTTACTATATGAAGTAGATCTGAGGCCATGCAAGGCAAAACATCTTTAAAAAATCCTGTCGGAATAATATCAAGGCAGCAGGAGGAGGATTTCAGAAGTTGTATAATGTCCTCTAGGTTTTTATCATTAATCTGCTGGAATTGTGTCATGGTGTTTGAATTGATGTTAAGTGGACACAGAGACAACACATTTGCTGTTCCTGATGCAGAGGCACTGACTGCTTGTCTGATTTTCTGAATTTTGTCAGTGAAAAAGGAGGCAAAATCATTTAGGCATTTTTGTCCACAATGAGAATGTTTATTTTTCTCTGAATCAGAAAACAGTTTTCATATTGTATTTCCACCAACTGTAGTGCTCTCTGAAACTGATGTTTTGTTTAATCTGTCAGGGTTGGCCTGAATCCGACACCTGGTGGTAAATCTGGAGAGAAATGTGTTGGTGACCCGGGCCCACATTAACGTCCAGTCCTACCCTGAACGTAGCACGGGCAACGCCAGGTAAGGACGAGTGGTTTTATGGTTATATCTGAGTTGATCTATTGAGTGTTATTCATTTACGAGAAATTAAATAATGTAATAGTAATGTTTTACACACACCACTCATTGGTGTGTACTTCTTCCTGTTTCTGAGAGGCAATCGGTACAGGCTGATAATTTCTCTTAAGCAGCAGCCCTTAAGCCAATAATATTAATTTCTATTAACTTGTTGCAGTTTCTTTACCAACTCAAATCATTGGTGTGTATTTCTGTTTCAGAGCGCCGGTCAGAACAAAGTGGCTGATTGGACTTGTGTTCAATGAACAGGGGGGCCAACACCTGTCAATAGACCTGACCCCCAATCTTCAGCGCTTCAGTGACATCGGTATGTTTACTTTTTCTAAATTCAGAAGAAATGGAGCAATGTCTTGTGAACTGCAGTCCACAGTGTGGCATGTCGCTGTCAGATGTTCAGAGAGGGGATGAGCACCTAAGCTCGATACATGTCCCAGAAGGACTTCAGCTGGGATCTGCCTCAGGAGCCTGGCAGGAGGGTTATCAGTGAGCACCGCTGCTCCATCTCCGACGAGTCACCAGGCCACAAAGAGGTCTCGTTCGCCTCACTCAGAAACTTCCAGCAAGAAGTTTAAATCTGACGAGGGGCCGAGCGAGGAAGTCTGTCTCAGCCAATCAAAGAGTGGAGGTCTCAAGAGAGCCCACACTCCTGAGTCAGAGTCACCGAGCAAGAGAGTCCGAACTGATCTGCTGAGGCCCGCTGAAACCTGAACGAGAAGGAGAGCCCCACCTCAGCCTCCATTTCATTTTTGTAAATATATGTATATATTTTATTATTTGTATATACATGTAAATACCTGTATAAATGTACAATATATATAAATTAAATATTTATTTGCAAAATGCACATGAAACAAAACTAGATGTATTTGATTCCCTTGAGTGCACTTGATGAAATTGTATTGTAGTTTTGGTGTGATTCAACAACACAAACGTATTTTCACTGCCACCACACCATTGTATATATTCAATTAATTCCCTGAAAGTCTTCAGGAATTACTAATCACAAAGTGATGTAGAACAAACCTTAGACATACACTTCATTAAAAACGACCGCAAAACGTCTAAAGAGACCGTAAACTGACCCAAAGGTATACTGTAAACACAGAGAAGCAGAACTAGATGCAAAACGACCACAAAGACAAACGAAAAAGGCAACAAATCAGAGGTGTAAAGTAACTAAGTAGATTTACTCAAGCATTATACTTAAAGGGGACCTATCATGCAAAATGCACCTTTGTACGTCTTTTATACATGAATATGTGTCAGGGAACTCACCAAGTGTCAGAAAACACAACCCTCTCTCTTTTCCTCCATACCCAAATCTCTAAAAATGGGGCTGCAACGGATCTGATTATTATTTGAATTTTTCTGACTTCAGAAAAGGGGTGCTCCGCCTATATGGGCAACTCTCCACCTATCAGGGGAATGAGAGACCGCTCGAAAGCGCTGGAGACGCTGTAGTACATATGCCAGGCCTGTAGGTGGCGCTGTATTCTGCCACAAAAGCAGAATCAGCCCTCGCAAAAACAGGGCGGGAAAAGAGCAAATAGAGCGAAATGAGGCATGGCTCAAATGTATGATCTGTTTGGTATTTTTGAAATAGGTATGGCCCTACAATATATGTTTCAAATATAGCATGATAGGTCCACTTTAAGTAGAATTCTGAGATACTTTTTGTTGCTATTTTGTACTTATACCCCAAGTACAATTTAGAGGAAAATCGTGTACTTTTACTCCACTACATTTATTTAATATCTTTAGTTACTTTGCAGATTTGAATTAATAATGTGAAATATGATCAACACTAAAATACTAAAACTGAACCTTTACCAGCTTTGATAAAATGTATAATCAAAACATATATTATTCTGAAATGGGTCAATCTGCATAATGAGTACTTTTACTTTTGGTACTTCAAGTATATTTGGTTGCCAATGTTGTATTATACTTGTAACAGAGTATTCCTACACTTTAGTATTTCAACTTTTACTTAAGTACAAGATCTGAGTTCTTCTCCCACGTGTGTGGAAAGGCTTTCTGTATTGCAATAGTTAAAGGAAACATTTAAACTATCTTGTTCTTGGCAACAATACAGCTGATTAAGCCACACAGAAAATTACGCAACTAATGCTTTGTAACTTAGTACACACATGCAGCAGGAATTATTTGGAATTTATTTGTGTTATATGGTTATAAGGAAGCAACATAAATGTGAACAGATGTAACTTTGGTGATGCACTCCCATCAGCCTCAGCTGAATTGTGTGTAAAGTGCTGATTAACCAATGGGGATTTTCTGGTTCTGTCTCAGACATCTTGTTTATTTAAAGGGTCAACACTCAAAAAGATCCAAGCAGAGCTTTAAATACTTTTGAGGTTTTTGAGATAATGCCTCTGAGATTTATCAGCAATGTGAATACTTTGATTTGTGGTGCTCAGAGACACATTTCAACTGAGAATCATGGTCCAATTCTGAGGAGAATATTCACCTGACGGTATACAATTTCAATAAAAGATTCCGATATGACATTCACCTCCATTGTAGGTGTATGGAGGCATACATTGTATAGTCAAGGTGTCAAAACCTAAACAAAGCTGCAGCATACAAAGCCATTCAAATGAGCTGCACCTTTACCAGCTTTGATGCAACACTTTAATGCATCAATAATTATAATCAAAACATATAATATATATATTGTTCTGAAATCGGTCCATTTGCATATAAATATATTTTGATGCTAATATTTGCACTACTTGTCACAGAAGTAATCCTACACTCCGGTACTTCTACTTTACTTAAGATAAAAGATCTGAGTACTTCTCCCTCCTCTGGATATTATTAAGTTTGTCATACAGCCCCCCCCCTTTTTTTGCAATCCTTGCAAAATCCTTACAATCCTGCCAAATCCTTGCAATCCTACAAAATAACCATTTTGTGGCAATTCCCAGTAAATATTGTGTTTAGAATAGGATTTCACCAGATTGAGATGTGGCTTTGAGACATGTTTCTAAAATAAGATCTTCCATTTGTAAATCTCTGGAGATTACACACTGAAGAGAACTGAGGAAGAAAAACATTTTACAGATAGGAAACCTTTTCTGTGATATTTCAAGTTGTGCACACTGACATGGAATTTTATTATGATGCATTTGTGACTTCTTTCCCTCTGAGAACAAAGATAAGGAATGCAAAGCACCCACTCGCGGTAAATGAAAGGAGAGACATTTCTGAGAGGGGTGAGAAACCCAAAGTGTTCCCCTCACAAAATGATGGTAAAACATAAGAGGGCTTACTGTCTGGAAATGGTGGCATTTGAGAAGGCAAATAAGCTGAACTGTGTGTGTTTGTGTTGAGATTATGTCATGCAGGAAGAGTGTGTCAGTGTGAAGGATAAGGTTTGATTGCACAGAGAGAGAGAGAGAGAGAGAGAGAGAGAGAGAGAGAGAGAGAGAGGAGAGAGAGAGGAGAGAGAGAGAGAGAGAGAGAGAGAGAGAGAGAGAGAGAGAGAGAGAGAGAGAGAGGAGGATGTCCGGTGTGTGAGTGGCAGCTGTTGAGCTATTTATCAAGAAGTGGATTCCATTAATGTCTTTTCATTCACTTTGTGTGCTGCTTGTACAAACACAACAAAAGGCAATAAAAAAACCAGGAAATGCAGAATGTGAATGGGTTGATGTACAAATGTTACTGTAAACAGAGTGACCCTGTGCGGAGAGAGGGAAAGAGAGAAAGAGGGAGGGAGGAAGATCAGCATGGGAGGGAGGGAGGGAGGGAGGAAGTCCTACCGCTCCAGGACTTCTCATGAAGCACGTCAGACGTTACTTATGAGAAGAGGCAGAGGACCTTCGCCACCAGTGAAGCAGGGGTAACCAGGAGTGGAAGTGGAGAGTGGAGTGTTTGATATATGCAAGTGGGGTGTAGAGAGAGAGACCCTCCTCTCTGTGGGGTCAGCCGATGAGAGAAGATGAAGAACCAAATTACCAACGCCATCTCTGACTTCTTCTTTGAGTACGAGACCCCGCGCCAGGTGCTGGTGAGGAACAGGAGGGTGGGAGTGGTGTGCCGTATCATCCAGCTGGTGGTCCTGGCTTACATCATTGGGTAAGAGCAACACGTCCATCCCTTGTTACTGTAATGTTCAGAGGGGCACAGAGAACATTTGGAAGAATACAAAATGACAGATTGACACGGTTACATTTTTCTGCTTGTGAAGGACTTCTGATTTGCTACACATTAAGACTCTATTTGATCATATTTTGCTTCAGGGGCCTCCATCTGAATATATTTAGTTGTTAGATATAAAAATAACCGGATTTCTATAACTGTCAGTTATGGAAATAACCGTGGAAGTGAGACCTGTGACCATAACAATAGTCATTCTTATGACTCTCACCCACATTGGGATCACTTCTATAGTGATTTAACAACTGAAAAGGAACTATTCCCCATTTTTCCTGGGAACCTGGTCTAGATTGACATAACCTTGATGTCTTTATTTTGCTAAGGTGATCAAAAAGAAAGCACAACTGACTGTTGGAACTGTTAGAAATGCTTCATGACAAAAGGGACAAACACATGTGATCTTATCATCTGCATTTCTCAAGTTGAGACTTAAAATATAAGGCATGCTTGTTATACGAACACTATCTCCACACACTTGCTTAGACATGTCCTGGGAACAATTCTTCAGAAGGGATAGTCTGTTAGAAATTCCTTGATGTCCGTTTGTGCATGTTAGCGCCTGTGTACGAGTGTGTGTGTCTCATCACCTCTGAGCAGCAGAACCTGAGGAGCTGTGTGGGTGATGAACATGCTGAGGCATATGCTAACAAGCATCACAATCAATTGCTGCCCAAATCACTGCCAAACGGCTGATGACATTAAAAATGAGCAAAAATGTGATAGTGACAGACATATCCGAGAATGTCTTCTCTTGCTCCGGGGAAGGATTTTTTAAGGGTATGATAAACTGGTTGCTTTGGTCAACTATTATTCTTTGTGGTAATTTATTTTGTCATGGTGGTTTAATCTTGATATTCCTTAGAGTCAAGCCATTACAAGACATCTGAATGATCATTTTTGTTCATTTCAAACCATGAAAAATAGGGGTTAACTGTGAAATGGGATTTTAGTTTCTGCTATACTCTGAGATAAAGGATAAGGAATATCCACAGTGACATTCAAAAGGTCTTGTGTCCCATTTAGTATGAAGGTTCTCGGTGCATGACAGAGCTTCCTTTTTCTGCTGTCTTCCCACCTGTCATCCACCTTTTGGTGATGGGCATGACATTTGATGCAATAATAAAGCTGTTCAGATTTTTCTCTTCAGGATTTAGGCAGCAGGCTGACAGGTCAGAGCAGAAGCCATCATGTCTCTTTCGAATTTAACCTTAGACTTGCCTCAAATACATCTCTTATTGTACTTTTTATTATTTTAATTAAATAAATATTTACTTGTTGATACACTTATTTTATGTATATATTTGAGCACTTTATTATCTGCTTCATTCTCATATAAAATGTATGCACCTTTCTCCAGTTGGGAGCACTCATTAGACGGTGCTCTGCATACATCTCTCCCACATATTTTATTTTTAATAAACCAATTAAATATAAACCTCTTACAGCAGAAACCAAAGACTTATTCAACGGCAGCCTTAGAAAACCATAATTAATTCTTGTCTTGTCACTTTTAAGTTGACAAAAATGTC